TATTCACAAAACCACCCATGATGGGTCCCCGATCCATCAGATGTCAAATTGAGCCTACAAACAGGCGATTCCATACACGGGCCTCGACCAGTGAAAATGTCCAAATTACCCCTTTCGAAATAGTCATGGCTTCGGCCCATCAGGCCCCATCCCTTCAAATTAGGAATCCAAACAGAATTTCCTTTGGGATCGCCCAACACGACACTGATTTTGGAGTCCGTTCCGGCCCTTACGACTGAGCCTGTTTGAACGTAGAGTGTGTATACACACTCATACTGCAAATTGCAAAACAAAAATTCATATAAATAAATGAAAATCGATATGAATTTGTGAAAATGGCTAATCGAATTCATTAGACTCTGTTCAATCTAAATGTTACATAAAGAACCTACAGAACTGTCAATTAGGAGCTTGTTTGGTAGAGATTAAAATTGAAAAACTAGCCGTTATTGTTGACTTTTATTAGAAGAGTGAGACTCAATAACGACAATATTTTCAATTTTAAATTGGATTAAAATCTCTCCCAAACAAACTCTAGATCACAACTCAATAATTGAAAGTACGAAAAGGATGAATTCTTGAACTTACAGATGAATCGGCTGCAAGAGCTGAGAGGAAGAGAGTGAGTAAAATTAAAGAGAAGAATTGGCGATTTAGACTCATCATTTGCACCAACTATACTATCAGAATTGCTATAATGTGGTGAAACTATTTATAGACCTTGCCTGAGTAATTAAAAATGAAAATATTAAAAATCCTCTTAACTTTTTTTCTCGTGCATCACGTTAAGAAATAAAATATTCATCTTTTTTGCTGTAAATTAAGCGATACAATTTATAAATCAATTTTTTCAGCTGAACTTTTTCAGATTTAGAAACTCGAGAAGGATAAAAATAATAGTTTTAAGTTGATATTTTTTTTTTAATAAAGAGGGCACGTGAAAGAGTACGAATTTCGAGGGATAATCTTGAACTTGGAAAATTTAAAAAGAAAATGCTTTGGAATTATAACTGATTGACGACAAATAATTGACAAAATTTGTTATGGGAAAATGTTCAGTTCCATTATAGCAAGCCTTGTGATTCATGCTCAAGTGAAACTTAAGAACATGCCACGTGCAAACACATTTGGTAGTAAGGGTTAAATACGCCCCCGTGCAAACACAGTTGCTAATAGATAAGAACTTGTGATATAAAAAATATCTAAATTCTACTCCAAAAAATGATGCTCCGACAAGGGTTTAAATTTTCGAAGTGAAACTTCTTCAATAGAGAGATGCAAATGATATATCCACAAAAAATAAAAAGTGAATTTCGATCTTTCCATAAAACAAAACTTGACTTTAAATCCATCAGAATGCAAAAGTAATTTTGAAAATACTAATTTACACATGACTTCACACGACGAATGGAGATGCTCTAAAGGTTAATTGCACTAAGAACAATTATACTTCCCATAATGTTTCAGTCAATGATCACTAAACTTTAAAACGTCTCTTATCACTCACAGCTTATTAAACATTTTCATCATCCGTCATTGCATCAACAAACATTTAAAAAAAAATAGACAAAATGGATGATGTATAACAAATATTCACAGGTAGCACCATTGACCATTATTTTTTCTCCATGTCACATGAATTCTATTGCTAGTCGTACGTACTTACTTTCTTGCAAATGTATTTCAAGTAAAATTTTGGATCTTGCTACTTGTACCCTCTTGTTTACACTTTGGTTTACTCGGTCCCACCCATCCTCTCACAGGGAGGTTGGGCCCCACGCATTTATTGGACGTGGGACCCGACCTCCATATGAGAGGGCAGGTGGGGTCGGGCAAACAAGAGGGTACAAATAGCTTAATTCTAAAATTTTTACGCTTAGTCCAACGTGCACAAGATGCTAACTAAAAAGAAAAAATGCAAAAAATTAAAAAAAAAAAAAAAAAAAAACAGCGGAGTTCTAAATTTATGAAATAAAAACAACATTTTAAACGCATAACTAATATGATAATTATGCATTACGTACATTCTCTTTAATGTTTTATTTACAAGGATAAGAACCGCAGAGCAATATGCAACAACATTGAAATACTCCAGGGAACAGCTTTAGCTTCACACCTGCCAGAGAAAAATTACAGCCAAAATCATCAAAAAATAAAAACAAAAAACTTCATTATTCACAACAGTGCAAATGGCTCAAGCAGTATGATTAACAAACTTACTCAACGGAACAACACTAATTGAGGTGCCTGGGCAAAAAAATAAAAATAATTTAATTAACTAAACAGCAATAAAATGCAAAAAGTTCAACAACACAATTTGATTCATTTTTTGGGGAGAACACATTCTTCTAAAATGTCATTGAAGTTTATGTAAACCAGCATCCGTCATATGATAAGACAATTTAAGCTTACTCATTATGCCGTACCGTGCATAAATGAAAGCAGGATGCATTTGGTAATGCCCTTTCCTAAGAATCAATTACAAAGTGGAATGATGTATATATGTAGAGGAAATTACCAGGAAATGAGAAAGCGATTAACATAGGAAGCCAATGGATAACTACTTCAATAGTATAGAATTTACCGCGAAATCAGGTGCTAGAGCTACCCATGTCGAAGTCCATTGTGTAATCATATTCAATGGTTGGAATCACGGACGCCACAAATTTCAAGAATAAGAAGAGGTACCTAAAAGAGAGATGGTGCTCAGTGTTAATATCATGAAGTAACTGCATCAAAATTACGAGTAAATAGACACAAAATAAAACAAACATTGTTTCAATTTCGAAATTAAATGAAATTCTTATATTCTGGAATGTGTCCCACATGTATTCCATTTCTACAAGGATGATTATTATAATACTATTGCTCATTGTTCTTTGGTGATCAATAGATTTTGCCCCCATTTTAAATTCACCTACTTAAAATCTCACAACACGTATTGATTTTCCTCTCTTTCATTTCCCACTTGGTCAGAGCGCTCCACGGGGTCTATCTGAAAAGACAAAACTAATCACTTTCTGGTTTACATTCCCCTTCCCCAACTTCTCAAATTTTTCGTCTGCCCGTTTGACACACACAAAGACACGACGCCGAACTCAACAAGAATCATTATATATTTTAGTTACCTAAAACAAAATCTTTAAAAAATTGACACGTTCTCAACCATGAAACCCTTCCCAATATGGTCTCTGCTGGAACTTTGAATGTAGTATTCATGCATCTGAGATAAAATCATAAATAAACCAAACAAGAGAACTAAGGCTATAAATTAGATACTTAAAATTCCAAGGATTAAAATTGCTCAAGTTCTTTTGACTTTTTGTGACATTTGATTGTTTCACTTGATGGTTTAATTTTCCTCCATTATGAAACGCTTGTTTTGAAAAATGTTGCAAAAAACAGTCTTCTAATAATCCCATCCAATCTATGTTATGCCCATCTGATTTATGGGGGAAAAAGTACAATAATCTCGTTAGCATGGTAGATAAAGAAAGAAAATTACTTGTCAACTTCTGGCTCAACACCTCGTGACATCAAAACATCAATGATTTTCTTCATCACAGCCCCATGACGGCAAGGATGGACAGAAGCATGTTTCCCAGGCAAGTGCGGATGGTCCTCAATTGTCACCTAAAGAAACATCATTGCAGAAGTACATGAAAGTAAGTTTAAAAAGTCTAGCAGAGTCGGATATCTTCAAGTCAACGGAATAAATAACAATTGAATATAAAATTTAACAACGGAGGAAAGCAAGTCTCACAGTCTTGCGTGCATGGTCTTGACTAACATCTTCAAGAACAAGTTCTGGTTGCAAAAGCATCCTCGACTGCCAAGGAAACAAAGTATTTGATTAAATGATTGTTGCATCCGAACTCACACGTCACAGAATGGATTACTTGCTCACAGTAAGGTGAGAGCTAATCAAGCTACTTTATCATTACAGTGATATCCACAGAAATATGCAGACAAAATAATGAAAGGCACCAACCTCATCATATCCAGTGAGCCATACACGAGGAGTTTGATAGTACTTGTCATACCTGAGAGGAGGGAGCATTAGATATGCAGTGGAGCTTGAACTAAACAACTGACATAAGTTTTACGTTAACACTAACTTACGTAATGCTAACATCATATGTTCGAGTTCTTAGAATATTGTCATCATCAGGCTCGTGAGCCATGAGGTACGTCGTCGGAAGTATTGCCTGCATAGAAAAAAAAAATTGAAATTCTATGAGCTTCCTATTGTTTTTAATTGAATGATCAATAACAAATTATACCAAATCAAAATGAGCTGAGAATACTAAACACCATCCAATTACAACTTGATTATAAACGTAAAATTGGAGCAAGTAAACTGAAAATATCTTCAAAATTTCACCATTTTTTTATTCACTGGAAATTTAGCACCCTTTCCCAAACAAACTTCCACAAAGAATTGTTCAAGCCCCATCCCCATCACACCACAACAAAAAGTAAAAATAGCAATTAAAAGACAAACAATGATTAGTAAGATTTCCTGGTTAAACCAGCTAAAACAATCTAACTCATATGTGGTATCAGGTCACTCATCATCTGAATCTCTTACATGCACTTCACTTTGTTCTCAAATTAGCTTAAGGTTTTCGGGAAAACATAACTTTCAATTCATACTTTGGCAACCAGAAGAGTGCATTTATTTTTAGGAATGCTAAGTTTAACTTCAATCAGGACATACAGTATGCAGATAATATTCCCCATAACCCTAATATTTCTAGTCTTCTTAAATGCCTTGAACAAACAGAATGAGCGCATTGGCTGTTAAAAGATGATGTAACTTCCATCAACTTGGTAAGGGACCCTTAATACATTATCTGATAGTTCTATGAAGAATTATTTTGGAGACCTTACATTATCAGAACGAGCGCCTCGGCTGTTAAAAAAGATAATATACCTATTTCCATTAGCTTGGTGAGATGACCGTAATACATTATCTGATAGTTCTATGAAGATTTGATTTTAGAGACGACAAAATGATCATTCTGAAACAAAAGTCCCTAGTCTAAATTCTAAAAGGTCTTCTGAAACAAATAAATGCCATTACCTATCTACGAAGAACTTGGTATTCCAAGAAGATGATAATCAAAAGAGACGGAGGACACTCAGGACAGGGTAAAAACAAAGGAGAGACTCCAATTTAAGGGTCCTTTACAAGCAAATGTATTTCCATCACCTATTCTACAGTGAAAAAATAGAAAGAAGAAAAGAAGATATATGTGCGAAAACAAACTTTCATGGACTTGCAAGTATACAGTAGATTCTACTCCAGCATCCCAAACGTAGTGTTATAGATTTCACTACCTCTAAATTACATTATGGTGCATTGACTAGAGAAAATAACCACCACATAACCATTTTATGGGGAACAATCGAAGATTTCACCATTAAAACCTAACATTATGCATAAATATGGTTAACTTTTTATTGAATTGTTTCACTTTTTAATATATGAATCAATTGCAGCCCAAAAAAATATTTCTGAACAAATATAACTTGGTCAAAGCACAAGATCCTGATAACAACTAACTAACGGTGCAACAGTGATGCCAAACTTTGCTATTACACATATTTTACCATTATTGCACTATTAGTTTTTAACCACTGAATAAATTTCGAATTGTTTTATGTGAACTTCTTTATTGCAGAAGCAAAAACCTCGTCAACAGTGGCATTGCCAGGAATTGTTTCTTTCACAAACTTGTGTAAAATGTTTGTTGGCAGCCCTTGACGATGTAGGTCATGACTTACATCTTTAAAAATTTAATTTAGCAAGCACGTGCATCACATATTTCACAAAGAATAGTGTAATTCAATTACAGCAGCGTTGCTGAAGACTTCACTTTAGTGAGAGATTTTAGCTGATAAAAGAAAAAAAAAGTCCGTCTTAATAGAATCACGGAAAAACGACCAAAATAGGAACTTACAGGATCATCATTCTCAACAACGTTATCAGCATCTTCAAATTCTGTCATATCTGGAATCTCTTCCTCTTTCTCTTCCTCACCTCCGAAGTATGACGAGATTGGTTGGATTGTGTTTCTCTTGCTGATTTCTAGTGTCTCCATGGAAGGTAGATTTTCATCCTCGTCACTCTTGGTATCTAAGGAGATTAACAGCATAGCACAACAAATAAGGTAACTGATCAAACTTAAACTTTTTAATTACATATCACATATCAATAATAAACCTTTAGGCTTCCCATGAGTTGCCAGCCATCCGTCGTTATCCTCATTATCAAGAAGAACTTCACCCCCGGCAGCTTCATATTCTTCTTCGACTGACGCAGCTCTTCGCAGACAAGGAACTGCAAACAAAATTAAGCTGGTGATGATTGATATCAAATGTCGAAAAGTGCTAAAAGTGATTCCAAGTGAATTCCCAGAAACAGTACTCCTATATTCTATGTAAGAAGTCTCAGTCAGATCTACCATTCTCTAGCAGATAATGAAAAAGTAGAAGACCAACAAGAAGAAGAAAGAAAAAGGTTTATCATCTTAAACTATTCATATGATAGGCAAGAAAACTCAAATGGTAGTTATTAATGACACCAAGGTTAGTTTATGCACCCAGGAAGAAATGTGCAGAAGAAATTCAAGACTTGTTATAATCTTAGATATCACACATGGCCGAGGAATGTAGTGAAGAGAACACAATCGCTGATAAAGTACAGCAAAAACTTGTAGGATTCGGTAGTGTTTATGCATGAGAATATACAAGTATCTGTACGTGACAGAAACGAGACGACAAATTCTTGAACTAAATCATTATAAAAATGAATAATACGATAAACACTATGTATTCATCTTAATAGCTCTCAGTTTGAATCCATCCATACTCATCCATGTAATGTTCATGTAACAATGCCCAGGGGACAAGGCCAAACCACTTACCGTTTCTAGTTATTAAGAATTGCTTATCTTGGGGTAGATATGACTTCCTCTTGCTTGGCTCACCCGATTCCCTATTGATAGAACATAAATTAATAACAATGCAGTTAAACAATCGATCAAAATAATCACATCAAATATTAGCTGAAAAAAAAAACATGAACACTACATACTGCATTTTTTTTGCTCATGGAGAAGACATATTACATATCCACACTTCTCAGTCATATATGACACTTAACTCGATGGAATGTTGAGTTGGCATCTCACATCACAAATTTTATTTTGACTGAGACACATATTGATAGGCATGTGGCATTAAAAGTATTGTGGTTCTTGAATATGTAAGGAAATTTCAATGAAGTCGCTATGTTCCATTAATTTAACTAATGGGAATGGAAGGGAGTGGCAAATGCGCAAGTTGAGTGACCAGCTTATGAGATTTTTATTTTTTTCATACCACCCCTTACATTCATAGAATTTGTATGAACACAAGATCTCCATGCCATCAAGTAAGCTTATATGCATTCCCTAAATTTTCTGCTTTTACTATGACAAGTGGAAAACTATACATAACAGAAAACATCTTAAGTATCATCATTTTTTCATTTTTTTCCCCACGAGTAAAAAATTCAACCTTGGAATGCTGTATATCATAACAGGAACATCTAATTAAACAAGACAACAATTGTCGTAGTAGTCTAACATTTTTCTAACCTGAGCCATTTAATGATACATCGGATTCTGCATTATTCAAAAATTAAAACGAATTCCTAATTATGAAGCTAAACAATAACTATTACGTATTTCACGCCTTCATAGCATAAAACACCTAACCAATCATAAAAGGCAAATCAAACCAAGTCAATTCAAAATCTACACGGGTTCGCGAATAATAAACTAATTTAATTTCCAATTCCAAATCCAAATTAGAGAGAAATTAAGATGGCAATTGGCAAGAGAGGTAAATTCAGAGTTCGGCACGGGATAAGAAAAGAAATTTACCAGGACCAGGTCGGACACTTGGAGACAAGGTTATCGCCAGCGACGATAAATTCATTGATACTAAGCACACCTTTTTCCTTGAAGGCCGAGACAGTGCGAGGGCTCGTAATCCTCTCCACTGTGCCCTTGAAAGCATCGTGAATTTTCTGAGAAAGCACCATCTCCAATAAAACGGAATCTCAGATGCCCGGAATTCGAACGACAGATGGGGAATTGAAGAAATCTCTGAAATTATATTACTGCTACTTTTGTTGTATTTGTGAAGCAATGCAATTTGACCTCCAATTCTAGGGAAATTCTTCAAGCCATGGGGAAATGATCCCGGGCCGGGCCTACCTTTTGCGCAAGATTCAACCCTTTTTCTTTCCTGGAGTAACATTAAAAGTCTACTACTTGAAACAAAATTTCATCAATTGTCACGCTACTGAAGTTATTTCATCAATTGTCACGTTACTGATTAAGTTATTTCATCAATTGTCACGTTACTGAAGTTTGCAAAAATAAAATAAAATCAAAATGATCATTATAGTAATTTTTATTATTCTATTAGAACTTAAAATTTTAATATATTATACACTGAATAATGCATCGTGCATCATTAAATTGCTTAGATGCAATTTAAGATTTATATTATTTTTTCTAACCGACTGATCATTTTTTTAAACTGTTATAAACTACAATGATTAATAGATAAAATTATCATTTTGAAATTTCTTACATTCTTCAATGATAATCGATGAAATTAACCCAAATTTGATAGGGCTATTTGATGACTTTGATTTTTCATGGATTTTTCCACTTTTTTGCTGTTGAATGGCATGAAATTTTTTTCCATGGATGAGCCTCACGCCTCCTTTTTCCTTGAAATTGTGGAGTTGATTTTCTTGCCTTTTTTGTGGTAAAATATTTTCCAACCTTTTTTTTTTTTTTGCAATTGAAAAAAATTCTAAATACAATGGTAAAAAAAAATCTCTTTTATTGACAATTTTCATATAAAACAAAGCCAAACTAATGGTATTCGGTGTGGTAATTTTTTTTTTTGAATATTTTTGACAATTGGAACAAATTCTAGACCTAATGGTAGAAAAAATTATCACTTTAATGGACAATTTTCATAAAAAAGAAATCAAACGGACACCAAACTTTCAACTAGCGGTGGCAATCGAGCTGAGTCGACTCGTCTCATTGCCACCGAGCCACGAGCCGAGCGACGGGCTTGCTAGGCGAGCCGAGCCGAGCCGAGCCTGGCTCCCACAAGCAAGCTCGTGGGCTCGTGAAAAAAAGACTAAAAAAATATAAAAAATAAAAAGCTAAAAAAAATAAAATTGGCGAACCACGAGCCGAGCTGAGCTCGTGGGTTTAAGGGCCGAGTCGGCTATGCTCGGCCCATTGACATCTCTACTTTCAACATTTTCCAGGTAAAAAATAATATTAATAAAAAACAATTAATTACAATTCTCAATAAAATAATTTATAGACAAATCAATTTCTTGTAAAATATTTTGTTTCCACTCATTTTTCACCTTTGCAATCGGACACTAAATTTTTTTTTTTTACATTATTTCAAGTTTGTATAGTGTGGCAATAATTTGTAGCATAAGATGTTAATTATCTTTTGCCTATATTAAAAGAGACATATTTGGGGTATTGTAGCTAAGCCGCTGCTAAACCAAATGGCCATACGGCTAGACTAAGTTGGGTGCTTTTTTTTTTTTTTCCTTCTCAATATCCAAGGCCGCCGAGCCGAATTGCTATATGACTCAGCTCGACTAAGCCGTGGGGCTTTTTTTTTTCTTTCAAATCTTATATCCTATCCTATATCTATATCTATAGCTAAATAGCCAAGCTGAATGGCTATATGGCTTGGCTCGACTCGGCTAAGCCGTGTTTTTTTTTTTTTTTTTNTTTTTTTTTTTTTTTTTTTTTCATATCCTATATCTATATCTATTCAATATATATCTATATCTATACATTGAATAAAAGAGCAGCTTAAGCCGAGCTTATTGGTTATATGGGTCGGCTCTGCTAAACCCTTTTTTTTTTTTTTTTTTTTCCAAATAGCTTTATGGCTTGGCTCGGCTCGGCTAGGTTTTTTTTTTTTTGAACGTTTGATTTTGATTCCAAATAAC